AAATAATGCCTGAGTAACTCAAAAAATGTTTTTAAAGTATTATTTTGTCGTTTTAGGCAATAAAAAACAAACAAACAAAAAAAAAAAAAACATTCAAACCCAACTGTCCCTTTGTGACAAAGGTGTTGGGATCTGGAGATCTGCCACCTGTCTCCAGCAGAGAGCGCTGTGGGTCTCCTGGGCTGGAGCCCTCAGCACACCTGGGGATCATCAGCCCATCAGGAGACCTCCTACATAAGCAGCAGTCAGACCTTCCTTCAACGCTGCAGTGTTGACCAAGTTTGGTTAGCGAACCTGAGCCTCTGTTAATTTGAGAATCTTAGTTGCCTCTTGAGAGAAACTTGATTCTAATCTGTCTCTGTCTTCTTGCTCACAGAGAACCCGACTGAAGTCTGAAGCTCTGGATGAGCTTCGCCTATAAACCTGCCTGCCTGCCCAAGGAAGCCAAACCTGAAGATTTCGGTCTGGATTTCCCCACCAGCTCTCAAGGGAGAGCTAGAAACTCAAGTCAAGGTCTGAAACTCACAAGCCAGAAGCTAGACGCTGCTGCTGCTGAGCTCTCTGCTGAAACTACAGTCTCTGGACCCAACCGGTTCCCTCCCTCTCAAAGGATCTGTCAGAACCTCTCCAAGGTAAATTCTGAATTAACACACTCGACAATCCATCTGACTGCCTGGCTAGTCAAACTATCCATCTCTGCAGATATCAGTGATTCCAGTCCCGGACTTGTGCCAGAACCAGTTCTTAATTCCTCTGTGTGCAATCAAATAAACTTTGTTAAACTTTTACTCTGTTTCCAGTGGTGTTCTGCATGTGGGTTAAGTCTCTTAAGCCAATCATGACAAAAGGAATAACCTTTAAGGTTAAACGTTTTTCTGGAAAGCTGGGTATAATTTTACCAGCGTGCTAGAGTTATTTAAATTTTAACTTGTTTTATTTTCATTGTATTTTATTGCATTGTGTTTATGTATTTTAGCTTTTAAGTTTTTACCTTATTTCCTGCAACTGTGATACCTGGTTGTTTTAAATGTGCTTTATAAATAAAGTTTGAGTTGAGTAGATGAATAAGTAACTTAAGTAGATGAAAATATCTAAAAATTCAACACATAATTTAATTAGAAATTAATCTATCAGGCTGGACGTTTTACAGATCAACCCAAAAGGCCAGCGAGTCACACTGATCCACTACATATAACAATGGTGACCTTCCCAGGATTGGCCTAAATGATTCTAAAAATTGCACAGACAGCTCACACTCAAAACAAACTCAAGCTTTGTAGGTGTGACTCAGTTGAGATCAGTGTTCTTGATTCAATAAGAGAGACTGAACAAAAATGGCACTAATGAGGGACGGCCGAGAATAAACCACCAAAAGGACAAAAAGGTCAGTTTCATGTTCACTAAAAAAACCTCTTGATGAGCCTTCAAAATATGAAAGAAAAAAAAATCTGGGCAGAATGCAGAGACAAAAGTAAAACATTTTGAAAATTGTTCATAATTTGGCATAAAAGAGACACATTAGTTGAACAGCAGTCCACTGTATAAAGTTTAACATACAGTCCTATTTGTTTTTGAATTTAAAGCTAAATGCAAGTTGTTCAGAAATAAAAAAAAAAGCTTTTTTAAAAGTAAAAATAATAGATTTTTTTATTTATTTATAAGATTCCCTTCCAATATTGGCTGAATGAAGAACAATAAAGTGCTTTGTACTATGCCGTGGAGTTGGTTGGTGTCTTTGGCTCCTTTAGGATGCGGAGTGGCCTCCATCTTCTCTGCCAGGTGACGGGAGCCGTACAGAGAGTCTGTGGCAGTCCACTGGAAAAGTGCCTCCTCACCATCAAAAAAGATCAACTGCAGGGTCAGGTTGGAGCTGGAATTCTAAATGGGATGAGATGAAAAAAAAAAATAAACTGCTGTTACTGAATGTCTAATCCTTTAGATCTACTGCCATCTAGTGGTTCTAAAAAAACAAAACAAAAAACACCAGCACAGAAAAAGACATGATCTCAGTAAAACTCTGTCTAGTAATAGAAATATTTTTAGGAATTACCTCCTTGAAAAAATACCATAATAATTCCATAGTTTAATCTTTATGATGTGGATTATTAGCTTGTTGTTTTTAAGATATTTATATTCAGTACATGAGTCCTTCCACAGGGATTTTTGTGACAAGCAGCTCAGTCCTTTGCTGACACCAAAATAACATTCAGTGTTTCTGCCAAACAATAGATAGGAATCTGATCCATCCATCCATCCATCCATCCATCCATCCATCCATCCATCCATCCATCCATCCATCCATCCATCCATGTGACAGATGAAATGTACATCCTGGTCTGTTACCTTCTGAGTTTTTAGTTCCTCATCCAGGGCTCGTGCCAGCTCCAACATCATAGCGCATGGGACGGCAGAATCTGTGGCACCTTGGAACTCCCTTCCATGCCACTGAGGGGGATAGTACTTGGAGTCATAGTGACAAGCAAGAACCAGGTGACGTCTGGCTGATGGGTTCAGAGTGGCAACCAAGTTGGTGAAGGGCAGCGGGCCGTAGGGAGTTTGTGACTGAAAACTGTCCTCAGTCACCTCCCAGCCCGCCTCCAGGGAAGCAAGGGTTGTTTTAATGTGCTGTCAATACAAAAACAAAATGTTTATAACAACTCATTTTAGATCACAGCAAACCTGCATCAAAACACTTACATTATACACATGAATGATTGTAGATTTTAAATTTAACGAATAGATGTTTTAAACTCACTATTGCACATTAAAAACAGTGCCATTACCTAACAAAAATGTTCATTTTCATATTGGCAGGAAAATCTTTGAAAAGCAAAATATAAAAAAAAATATTTTAAAAAATGGAGGAAACATTTATCCACAATAATGCAGAGCAAACATTTGTCTAAAACCTTAAACCATAACATAAATAAATCAATAAATAAATAAATAAATAAATAAAGGGACGATGAATGGTACTGGTTTACAGTATGTGTAACATAGACATAGGCTAGTAGTTTTGAAAAACTACATCTGGTGATATTTAATAAACCAGAAAATGTGTGCCAATGAGGCTAATTCATCAAATTTAAAAAACTTTTATATAATAACAACCTTTAAGCAGGCACTGTATAAAACATCAGTTTCATTAAACCTACATTTCTGTCCTAATAATTTATGTTTCTTTTTTTAACTTGTAAGATATAACATTCAAACCTTACATTTTGTTTTTAAGCATAATAAGAAAAAAGAAAAAAAACCCCGAAAACAGACAGAAACAAATGCTTTAAAGCATCACGCATACGTTATTTGTTCATAATAAACTCACGTTCTGTACTGCCAGGCTACCAGCAGAGCCTGGGTACCGGGTAACCAGCAGCGGCCTTAGGTCCCTCTGCCACATTTGCTCCAGATTGGTGTGAGACAGGGCAGCACGGATCTCATCTTCACTTAGCGTGAGCGCGCTGTGCCGCAGCTGGAGGTCACAGTGAAGGAGGCATTCAGTTCAAAGTTAGAGAGGAGAAAAAAATGTGTTTCTCCATCAATTATAATATGCAATGTCAAAAACATTATCTAAATTAACTAAAGTTATGATGTTATGGAATAAAATCAGTTTAATTGAGCCAACAGTTTGTTAGGACATAAAAGGATTTACTTACAATGCACTGAATATGGAAAGCAAAATGAATGAAACATCAACAACACAACTGCTGATGCTTGTGTCTGTATTGTAACTATTATTTAAACATGG